ATTGTTCCATTCTGACATAAGTTTTGGAAAAAAACTAGATTTATATAATTGCGTTCTTGGTACTGGAATGTCAAATAACCTATTTTGTCGAAAGTTGCAATGTTCATCAAGTCTGAGTCATGAGATGGAAATTGTTATTAAAGAATTTAAAAAATGCAATATTTTGCAATAAATGCAATAAATGTCTTCTTTTACTAAGTGTAACAAAGCCAATCTCTCTATATAAAATGTTATGGCTCGTTCCTCGTCTTAAACCAGAAATTATGCGTGCTGCTTCAAGTTTGATTGACTCTAAGACGTTGCACTCTCTCTGGGAACAGTTAGCCCATACAATATCAGCATATTCGAGGATTGGACGAACATATGATATATATATATTGATTCAAGGGTTTTTCTATCAATCTTAAATTTTAACATTCTAAGTATATTCAGTCTTTTATATGCCTTTGCATAAATATAATTTTTATGGGTTGACCAGTTGGCTTTGCCATTGAAAATAAGACTAAGGTGTTTATGATAAATAACGTTATTAATAACTGCATTATTAAAAAATATGTTAGGATGCAACGTCTCAGTGTCGAACCGCCTTGAGAAAAGTAGAGCCTCCGTTTTATCCTGATTGAAGATGATACTCCATTTATCAGCCCAGATAGAGATTTTACGTAAATCTTCAATTAGTATGTCAGCAGCTTCCTGTCTGTTTCCCTCTATCAGTGCATACAAAGATGTGTCGTCAGCAAAAAGCTTGACATTAGTGATTAAAATTTCGCTGATATCATTTATGTACAGTAAAAAAAAATATGGCCGTAAAACTGACCCCTGTTGTACCCCGCCTTTAACGTTTTCCAGTTAAATATAAATCCATCAAAGACCACCCTCTGTCTCCTATCAATTAAATACGAAAAAAGCCATTTCAAAATATTACCGAATACCCATATTTTTTTAATTTGAAAATTCAACCATCATGCCAGACCCTGTCGAAAGCTTTGCTGATGTCACAAAATATCATTCTAGCTTCCATACCTTTATCCAAGTGCTTTACAATTGCATCATATATAACTAATAATTGGTAGACAGTTGAATCTTTAGGTAGAAACCCTGATTGATTCTTAGAAACAATATTGTATGTTGGGCGATAATTAAACATATATTTTAAAAACACTTTTTCAAGAAGTTTACTAAAAATAGGAGTGACAGAGATTGGTCTATAATTGGATGGGTGACTACTTGCACCCTTGCACGTGAACACGGGTGTAACATGAGCATTTTTGCATGCAGAATGGAGAATACCGGAGGAAATAGATTTATTAAAGATTAGTAACAGAGGTCTTTATAGAGATTGAGATACCCCTTTTATGAATTTTGGAGGGATGGAATCAGGGCCTTAGGGTTTATTAATATTGAGCTGGTGAAACTGCTAAATAATGTCCTGTTCTGTTATGTCAAATGTCGAGAAGCTGTGCTCTGGCCGGCTACAGTCGGTGGGTAAATCATCAGCAGTCTTTCCGGTTTCAGATATTGATGAACAATATTCGTTAAAGATTCAGCTTTGTCGACGGGATGTATTTTGAGTATGCCATTAAAAACCAAAGGAGAGTCAATTTCACATTTCTTTTTAAGATTTTGCAACACGCCACCATTCCCCCGGGGTTATGGATTTGTCTATTAGAGAAGATTGTAAATTGGAAGATATGTTTCTTTGGCCTCACGTATTAATAAAATTACGAATGGTTCTAAATTTATTCCAGGAGGCTGGAGTAATGTATAATTTGGATTTAGAATGCTGACGATTCCGCTCTCTAATTTTTAGTCATATGTCATTAGTCATCCAAATTTTATCGATAGGCCTACTAGTTACAGTTTTATGAGGAACAATTTGATCTAAGGCAGTCAGGATTTTGTCAGAAAGAAAAAAACAATCATGTTTTCAATATCCCCCTGTAGTTCAGGATCCCAGTCAATTGAGTTTAGATAAGCATTGGCTCCGTCAAAGTCAGTATGATTAAAGTAGGTAATGTCTTCTTGTATGCACGTTTCTTTAAGGTTTTGAAGTTGAGGTCAGCACTGACAGGACAGTGATCACTGCAGGAAGGAGGATGGACTGTGCTGTTAGTTACAAAATTTACGTTATTTGTTATTATGATATCAAGTGATGTTGAAGATAAAGGAGTAATCCTGATAGGTTCAGAGACAGTAATTTCAAAACCATATTTTAATAATAGTCGATGAAAATGAGAGTTTGGATTAAGATTTAACATGTTAACATTTATATCTCTTACTTGGACAACTTCTTTTTGCAGATCAACAATAATGTTAAGATTATTGTCAAATCTATCCCAAAAGCCTACGAGAGAATTAGGGGGTCTGTATATACAACCAAGAAGAATAGGTTTATTATTAGTGGTTACTTCATTCCATATCAGTTCAAGATCACCTGATTCTAAATCAACTCTACATTTAATATTTATGTTATTTTTTGTATAAATAAGTACCCCGTCTCCACCATTATTAGTCCTATCCTTTCTAAAAACATAACCGAAATTTTCGAGAGAGATATCGCTGTCAGAGATAAATTATTAAGATGGGTTTCGGTTACACAAAGAACAACATATTAAGAAAATTCAGCATCAAGAATGAGGGTTTTGTCCCTTAAAGAACAGATATTAATATGGCAGACAGATATATTATTAATACGGATGTTAGTGTTTTTTTGTGGAAACGGCCCAGGGTTCGGATGAATATCACCACATACCAATAATATGTAGAGTAGTAGTAAATGAAATTGCAAATTGTTAGAAGACGAATTCAGTGAAACACCAGAGACACGAATACAAAGTAATTTGCCATTCACTTCTCCCTCAATACCAGGATAAATCATTAGTTTAGCCATTGTCAAAAAATATATACATGAGAGGTGGATGAGTACTGGTAGAGAAAGTGATGTGAATGACAAAGGAAGTCATAAGTGTAGAACAATTGGCATTGATGTGAATAAAGATATTGTGAATAATATTGACATGTATAACTGTTATTATTCTGAAAACAGGCATGGCTTTTGATCAATAAACACAATATAAAGCAAATATGACAAAACGGCATATATACACATAAAGACAATTGACATTGCTTTATCATTCGAAGATGTATATTTGGCATAAAACATCATTGATTAGTTCAAGTCAATAAGTTTATCAACATAAGAATCAATTCTCAAACTGATATAGAAAAGAAATTAACTTATTATTGAGATCTAAGAGATTGCTGGCAAAGGGATTAAGTCCAGGAGTCTTTTATATTTTTTTCCGAGATTATAATAATGTTGTGTGCAAAAAAAACAAAAACAAATCAAAATCAAAAACAATATTGAGTGCAAAATTAAAAAAGTTCAAATGGAATAGATTCACACAATTAAGATTTCAATGCTTTTTTTCCCATTTGTAACCAAAACGCATCAGTATTTTTTGATCGATGGTTAATGAAAAGAAAAGAAAAAATACAAGTGCTCATTCGAGTCAAACGTAACTATATCAGAACTCATCATCACTTAAACTTTAGAATTATGGCGATGCCAGAACTAAATGCATTTAACTACAATAAAACACATTATGTTTGCTCGTGACATGGTGTGCATATCATTATCATAGGTATCAAAGCCATTTTTTTTAATAGAATTGTATTTTTCTAAGTACCAACAACACAATATGGTGTGTAAACATTTATTTTTTTATTTATATAACAATTCTTATCACCACTGATTACAAATAAATGATTATATTAGATCTGGTAAATATAGCTCTGCGTTCATGCTAATAAAACATGTTCTCGATTTCATTACTGCTTATAATACTTACATAAAATAAATTATGGTGTACCATAGTTTTAATAAAGAGGAATTATAAAGAATAATACGAAAACAGTTACTCAAACAAACAGAGAAGTCACATTAAAATAAAGCTATACTACATTATAGAAAGATAAAAAAACACACAAAAAAAAACAAATGTATAGATAGAGATCGTATGGAAATATTTGCTTCTACAGGGTGAGTCTAGTTGGCTCATAGCTGGTGCACCGACGAGAAAAACCCGTCCCCGCAACACCACTACTGCTGACCTCAGCTGTACAGGTACAATCATAGGGAAGCGTTACTCTATGGGACAGTATACTACTATAGTTAAATGTAACATACGGAGTGCATGAAAGATCTAAAACTCAAAAGTTAACCACAAAAATGTTAGTGTAACACGCCAATAGGTTTTCGATGATTTTTATATTTGTAAACAATTTTCATCCAATATCAACTAGTAGTTAAGCAAACTTTTAAAATAGTTTACACAGCACACAAACACTAGCATTGGATAATACAAACGTAACTTAATATATCAGAATGCATCACAACAGACTATGGAATTATGAAAATAATCTAACTGAATGAATTCGATAACAGTGATACCTGAATTTCACGATTGATGCGTTGCTTCCTACATCAACATTTTCTATGTGATTTTTAAAATGTGTTTTCTTATTTCTATTTGGTGATTATTAGTCCCGGTTATTAGTCTCGGCTGTTTTGTTGAAACAGGTGCTTTCTATCGTTGTATATCTACAGGTTTGTTTGTAATAGGAATAATGTTTTTATCTGATAGCTCAGTAAGGTTAAGGGCACCATAAATTTAAAATACACCATTAGGCCTACCACTGTCAGTTATCGGAAATATTTAAGTCATTTTTCTGCGGATGTATTAAACAAATCTCGCCACGACTCTTTAAAATTACAGTTTTTCGAGTATTTAAAAAAAGGAACCTTTTCAAAGCCGACCCACTCTTGCTAACCAGTAATTGTAAATGAATGGCATCATATGGATTATGGGTACCTTTTTATGAAAGTAATTCAGAGACAAAACACAACAAAGAACAGCAAAAACTACGTAGATAGAATGGAGGATTTGCTTTATAATTACACTAAAATAAACACATATACACGACCATTAATCGTAAAATTTAATGCTCAAATTGAAAAGTGAGAAGCATTCAACAATTTTTGGCCCTTTTTCAAACATTGATCAGTAGACACCTTTATATTCATGTCAATTGAAATGCTTTTAAATAAAACTCTTTAACAAAAAGCGTTTCGCCCTTCCCCCTGACATCTCGGAAACAAACTATGTTGTTGTCAAATCATTTCAATCATGTTTAGTCATGTTGGATCTGTATTTTCGAAATAAAAAGTGTTTAGCTTATATAAAATATCAAAGAGTGTTAGTGGCGTGTCGATAAGGGCACATGTGAAGTGTATTGCTGGTTCAGTAGTGCTTGTCCTGGTCGTATCCCGCGCGGTAGGGGTCCGTTGGAGGTGCCTCATACATGCTCGGCATACTGTTGGTAGAGCTCTGCATACTGTTTGTTGACGAGTTCACTACCGTCACATCTGTTGGGTACAAAACACAATAATGTTTAACACTTAATGACTCACACAACTAAATCAGTCAATCAACAAGTGTTTCATACGTTTGTAGTTCCTATATAAAATGAGCTAATTACTGGGACACTGAGAAAGTTTAGATAAATGAAATGTTCATGTAATTAACTTTTGAAAAATGTATACTTTTGATATATATATACATGTGTTTGTGCGGATTTGCACAGGGGCAAAATGTCTGGGGCGTTTCTGTTTTGGGTCACCGGTTTTGCTCGAAACGTCCGGTTGTCAACGACGCTGTGACACTCCAATATGCCACTAAACCTACCAAAAAAGTAATTCGAAGCCTTTGCAAGGTATGTTTTAATGAATCTAGACAGTTGTCACTGTTGTTGAACTTCAAATTTTAAAGTTATTAGCTAAAATGTTTGGTAATAGCATAAAGTAAATGGTTTAGTTGTGCGAGTCCTTCAAACAAAAGTTACGGCCCGGAATAGAAATTGTTGGAATACAAAAAAAAAAAAAACAGAAGAAGGAAAACCAATGCTAAAATGATACTTCTTCCTTCATTCAAAGGGGATATATAAAAAGCATATTTAAATAAACTTTTTATAAAAATAAAATTACTGCTGTTGTTTTTAAATTGAACAGCATATAAATATATACATGTTTGCACTCACACAGGCTGGTAAAAGTAGTCGGCGCATATAGCCTCTCGGTTCGAGCTGTCCGCCTGGAGAAGTATATCATCACAGCAGTGGTACTTAGTCATGTTAGTGGGCTCGTGACAGCAGTAATCCCGCACCACATCGCGTCGTTGTCCGGGACCAGAGGATCTCCGTTAAGGGCTATGCAGCACTCACCTCCAGCCGTCCCGGACACTGTAGATTAGAAACCAACGAGTCAAGCACTAATTTTCTTTGTTCAATTTGGTTGATAACCAATTTTTTTTTAAAATGCTGCTGCTTTGTTTTCTATTTCATTTCAACAAATTTCATTGCAAAACAATTCCGGTATGGTACAGTTATTTCAACAAAACATATAAATAATAAATATAGTTTATCTCCCCGACCCATTGAACAAATTTTAAGTACTTATATCAAATTTGCCAGTTTCTGTAATGTATTCTGAATTACATTGTAATACATATGAATTTGTTTCTTGATCACAATCATGACAACCGTGTAATAAGGTTCTGCTATTAAAATGATCATGGGAAATAATAGGATTATTAAGTTGATTTCTGAGTTTTGATCTTGATTCGTTGAACATTGGACATATACGGAAGAAGTGTTCCGCTGTTTCATCTCCGAGGTTACAATGACATGTCGGGGAATCTCTCAAATGATCACGATATAGGTCAGAGTTCAGGTTGCTGGCTAAATTTCTAAGCTGGCACATAATAATATTTATAGTTCGACAACCATCGTTTACAAAGGTATTTGTTGTATCATATGCTGTTTTATTGTTATTAAAAAGGAGTTTTTTTAATTGTGCAAGAGAATTTTCATTGGATAAGTCAAAATTCAGAGTAAGAGAATCGAATTCCCTAATTGTACTAGGAAAATAGCTGCTATAATAGCTTGCTGTTCTACATATAGGAATATTATCATATCGAGTCATCCTTAGTGGATATCTTTCTTTTTCAGGGCGATATCAAAATGAATGTACAATATTTTTCAAGTGTTGTGGAGACATGCCATGAAGTATCTAAAACATTAATATCATTTTATGTTTTTGATGCCTACCAAAGAGAGATTACGAAGGAAGTTTTTATATTTGTTTTATAGGAGGTACCACTGCGCAATCCCGTTATAATCCTTGCAGCTTTCAAATGAAGATACTCTAGTAGCTGTTTAAATTGATCTGTGCAATTATCCCAAAGACATATGCATATTCCAAAATAGGTAAAATATATGTCTGATATATATTTAAAAGATTTTTTCTTGAAATTCATTATTTCAATGATTTTAATATATTTTTCCTTTTAAATGCTTTTTGGTATTTGCAATAGATATGATGAATCCATATTTCAACAAGAACATAACTAAATTCATTTATATCGTTATTTCGGGAAATAGAGGTCCAGTTAATATTACTTATAGTATCATTGATCCTATCAATGTAAGCACCATCATATTCAAATATTGTTTTCTTACATGCAGTTAGTTTATACACTGATTATGATATACTAAAGTTAATAAGACAATGATCGCTACAAATAGGAGCAAAAACAATGATGTCCCTTATTGAATTATTATTGTTAGTTAGAACAACGTCTATAGAAGAAGAAGAAGTAGGTGTGATTCTAGTGGGTTCATTGATTAAATTAGTTAGATTACACCTTGTTAATAATTGGCCTAGATGAGAGTGTGGCTGAAGGGTTAACATATCTACATTAATATCCCCAGTTATAATTACATCAGTAACATTATCATCAAAAACTTTATCAAACATCTCATCTAATTTCCTCCAGTATTCAACAGTATATTTAGGTCTTAGATGCAACCTATGAGTAACTTATGGTTATCAACTGTAACTTCTGACCAATCATTTCAATTTCATTACATTCCAAAATTCTTCTACGCTATATAACAATTCCATAGTTCCATTCCTTCTATAGAAATCATGAAAAAACTCTCTAAAGTAAGGTTACTCTCTGGTATTAATGGGTTAAGATGTGTTTCTGTGAAACATCATTTTTAGAGAGCTCATTGTCTATTATCTCTAATTCATTTCTAATTGATCTAACATTAAGATGAGAAATTTGGAGATTGAGCAGAGGACCTGGATTAAGTTCAATATCATTACACAACAGTAGAAGAATTTTTCTCAATAAAGGTAAGTAAATAAATATAGAGTATATTATCAGAAACAAATTTGGATGTATTATATAAAATGTTACTTCCATGTATGCCATGTACCCACAGTTTAATCAATTTGATACATGAGATACATGGAAGACAAAATATGACAAAATAAACAAGTCCCGGGGTGGAGATACACTATACACAACATTACATATAAATATATATACAAAAATAAAAATTGCATGAACAGGTTTGTTTTCAAAATCTGCTTGAGGCAAGCTTGTATTCATATTAAATTTAATTTTGATTTTGGGAGGGAAATTATGACTACACTGTATTTAATAAACAATTCTACAGCGGTTCGTATACCTTTTAACTTAAAACCAGATAGAGTTGTTCGTTATCACGGTTAATTCAGTACGTGTATACTATAAATTAGGCTATTCCTTTATGGGTTGGTAAATTTGATTGTAAATATATGTGCAAAATATATTTTGGGAAAACATTTGGACTATATGCAAGTAGACATGTTATGAAAACATTACGTAGGGCGTCAAGGATTTGGCACATGCTTTAGGCTAATTTGGCAAATCCATTATGAACGGATGTAGTTGATAAAACTGACTCGTTGTGTACAGTCACAACAGACCATCCGTGATGACCCACCTCGCTGGTCGTGACAAGGTAAATACGTGCAACAAAAAAACTAAAAAACCCTAAAGGCACTTGTGCTTCAAATTGTTTTCTTTTTCGTTATTACAAGCCAGAAAACAAAACTGACATGAGTAAAAATTACAAGATAAACTGTATATGTCTTGACAAAAGGAACCATTTATAATACTTGGCAGTATAAACGACGCATACCACAACTAAAACATTCTATCATTATCATTTCATATAAAAACAAGCACTTTTACAAAAGAATTAGATCAAATTTAAATATATATAATATTTTTGTTAACTATTTTTCAGATGATACAACGGAAATTGTACAATTGATACAACGGAAATTAGCACAGGTACTAGCCTCGTCTGTCAATACACCTATAATATAATCAATTATATTATGGGTGTCATAATATAATCAATTATATTATGGGTGTATTCACAGACGAGGTTAGTACATGTGATGCTAGCACGCTGCTGGTCTTTCTTACCTAAAAGACAAACCCCAACGAAGACTGAGAGAATCCCGGCGATCATCTTGTGTGTTTGTTTGTGTAACACGTATTGACCCCAAATGCCTTAGTTGATGATTAAATAAGATACGTAAGGTACAACGTCTACTGTTTTCTCGCAGTATCACGGACGTTATCTACTATTTAATGGAGAATCGAAACAAAAACTTCCTTATAACCAGTCTTCCTAGAACGAGGTGTGTAGTAGAAACAATGTGATTATCGAAATCAGCAGATTTATCAATATTCTTAACGCTACGTTGTGTTCTCTTAAAACCTAATATTTTAACACTAAACATGAAAGCAGTATAATATTTCTAAAGGATTCAGAATTCCGTTTTACACGGAAAATATTTACATTCTGTATGCTTAGACCCATTGACAAAAATTACATTCATAAATGCATAACACAGGTGTTCATAGAATCTCAGCACGTGGGAACTGATAGTAACCTGATCACACTGCGTAGTAATACACCACAAAAACTACTCACTCGGAACGACCGACCTAGATTCTTAATTCTTACATCTTAAAATATTATTGAACTGTGCTTTGTGAAATATCCACGTATTCACGCGTCCTGTGCTACAAATAAACATTGAATATGGAACTACATTTTGTTGTGTTATTGTTGTTGATAGTTGCTAAGATCTCTCACGATAGTGTCACATTTCCCCGCGAAAAAAACACTGTTCTCGCCACTGCGTTGTACCCGTGTATAAGCAGGAACAAACCCTGTTTATTTGTTTTATTCGTTGTTATAGCGATCCACTGAAAGGATTCGTCAATGTAAATATAAGGAATGATATTTATTTTTTCAACATTTATGAGGTCATAACAACAATGGGATTTTGGACATATTTTACATGAATCGCTAACGCGATTCAATCAATATGTCCATAAACCCATTGTTGTTATGACTTCATAAATGTTGAAAAAATAAAAATCATTCCTTAAATAATGACCATTCTAATTAATCACTGATATATGAACTTTGACCAAGGAATAACACCCAGTATATTGTTGACACTTACAACATAACAGCTGATGTTTCGTAGAATGTAATACCCTACCAGTAAATAAACTAACAAAGGTAAATGATGTGTGTTAGCTTATAACTACATGAATTTTGTCAATGATAAACATTGCATCAAACACAGAAGCAGTTGTGATAACATGAATGCTAACACAGTGTGATGTGTCACAACAAGGATTAGCACCAAGAGCGATTACACACAATGAAATACATGCAGTTCCTCCTAGCGAACACTTAAGAACTAGTGGTAATTATTTCGTCAGTTCTTCTAATAAAATGTGGTTATTGTGAGATAAAATATGCTCTGATTCGTTTAACTAACGGAGTCTATTCCGTCGCGCTTAAAAGGTCAACATTATTTTCCCTCAAAATAGTGAGCGATTTTTGAAATCTTTTTACATCAGAAAGCCAAGCATATTTAAATTGATAGGACTACGAGGAGTGTGAAAAATACAAAAGAAATAACAAACTTAGGGAAATAAATAAAATTTGCAAATTCGAGAGAAGAACCCAATTATAATAAAAAGGTGCGTTGCACTCTCCAAACGTTGTGTAATGTTATTTTGTATATTGCACTGCAAATATTGCACATTTGTTACTTGTAACTGATGAGTCGAAAGACTCAAAGTAATTAAGAACTTGAACTTGTAATCAAGCATTTTAAGTCGGATCCGACGCTTGCCATGTTCCCCAAACCTGAATAACGATCGACACTTTTCTACCATCGCTTTCACGGGAAGTCTATTATAATAATCAACTACATTTCGAAAGTAAAAATAGATATAGTAGCTTTTCTAATTATCGAAATAAATCTAAAACACATTTGGAAGGAGCAAAGAAAGTATTGTGTCAAAGGCAAACTTAAACAAAGGGTATGCAAAAGCTGCACAGCAAATTTGTTTGTAATTGGTTATTTAAACGAGGCAATGTCAGTTATGTTTTTAGAGATATTCTGCTGCTGATCTTTTTCAGTTTAATTACGTCACGGATCACATCGAAATTACGTCACTCTTTAGAACACCAGCTGACAAGATACTGAGAGTGTCACACTTAAACAACTTCTTTAACACAGTCCCTAATTATGCTATATTGGAAAGTGTGATTCTCGAAGCAGAGGTCACCTTGTGCGCCCATACGGAATATACTTATTACAATATGAGTGTCTGTCGTTGGGTAAAAATGACACACATATCTTGTATACATAAAGGAGAGAGAAATATTTGTTCAGCTGCCTATTTTATCTCACTTTTGATAGATAATCTTCAAAAGGTACAGAGGTACAAATGACACTTGTTATCTCTAACAACACTTGTCTCTGAATAAAACAATTTTACGCGTGTGATAAAATATCATGTCATTCAATCCTACTGTGCTATATTTTTATCTTGATACCTTAAATGTGTTTTGGTGTCTTATAAAACATATAATACCTTAGTGTATGTAGCAAAGATGCAAGAAACACCCCACTCATTCAATCGTCGCTTTATTTAAATCGGAGCAGAAATACGGAGGCTATGAATGCTACAAATATCCTAGCCTTCATTGTCCTTGGCGTGACCTTTTATCTGGCCCTTGAGCTGATATCATTACAGGTATGTAAAGCCACTGGTCCCTTCACAATTTTATAGAAGAGGACAAGTCGATGATCCAGTCTGCAATTCCTAGGTGATGGCAGTTTTAGGGCATCCGGCATTGATGTCACGCAGCTCTTCCTCTGGAAACCAGATGTTATGAACCAGGCAGCGCGACGTAGTATCCGTCCCTAAGAATGTATGTTGTGTTACCGGTACGTACAGACCCCATATTGTTGAGCCATGTTCCAGGACGGATCTTAATTACTTGCGACTTGTAAGCTGTTAACTTAAGTAACGAAGACCACAATCGCTGATTCAATCGTAAGAACCGGAGTGTGGACCTTGCTTTATTTATGATGTTGCGGAGATGAGCGTCCTACTCCATGAAATTGAGAATAACAATGTCCTCTGGAAGCCTAGGTGGTCTTGCAGACATTTGATTATGCGGTATAACAAACAATCGACAGCAAAATGCCACACGCTGGATGTTAAACAAGCAGGCAAATCATTGTTATGACAGAGAAAAGTAAAGTTTGGGCAGTGGTAGAGCCACCCTAATTACACACACAAACAATGCTTAGTTTGGCCAGTAATAGAGCCACTATAATCCATACACAAACAATACATGCTTTGAGCAGTGGAAGAGCCAACCTAATTACATACACAAACACTACTTAGTTTCGGCAGTGGTAGATACACCCTAATTACACACACAAACAATACTTAGTTTGGACAGTGATAGAGACACTCTTATTACACACACAAACAATACTTAGTTTGGCCAATAATAGAGCCACTATAATCCATACACAAACAATACATGCTTTGAGCAGCGGAAGAGCCAACCTAATTACATACACAAACAATGCTTAGTTTGGCCAGTAATAGAGCCACTATAATCCATACACAAACAATACATGTTTTGAGCAGTGGAAGAGCCAACCTAATTACATACACAAACAATGCTTAGTTTGGACAGTGATAGAGACACACTTATTACACACACAAACAATACTTAGTTTGGACAGTGATAGAGACACGCTTATTACACACACAAACAATGCTTAGTTTGGGCAGTGATAGAGACACCCTAATTACACACAGAAACAATAAGACACCCTAATTACACACGCAAGCAATACTTAGTTTGGGGAGTGATAGAGACACCCTTATTACACACACAAACAATACTTAGTTTGGACAGTGATAGAGACACTCTTATTACACACAGAAACAATACTTAGTTTGGACAGTGATAGAGACACGCTTATTACACACACAAACAATGCTTAGTTTGGGCAGTGATAGAGACACCCAAATTACACACACAAACAATGCTTAGTTTTTGGCAGTGATAGAGACACCCTAATTACACACGCAAGCAATACTTAGTTTGGGCAGTGATAGAGACACCCTTATTACACACACAAACAATGCTTAGTTTGGGCAGTGATAGAGACACCCAAATTACACACACAAACACTACTTAGTTTGGGCAGTGATAGAGTCACCCTAATTACACACGGAAACAATCCTTAGTTTGGACAGTGATAGAGACACTCTTATTACACACACAAACAATGCTTAGTTTGGACAGTGATAGAGACACTCTTATACACACACAAACAATGCTTAGTTTTTGGCAGTGATTGAGACACCCTAATTACACACGCAAGCAATCCTTAGTTTGGGCAGTGATAGAGACACCCTAATTACACACGCAAGCAATCCTTAGTTTGGGCAGTGATAGAGACACCCTTATTACACACACAAACAAGGCTTAGTTTGGGTAGTAATAGAGACACCCTAATTACACACGCAAGCAATCCTTAGTTTGGGCAGTGATAGAGACACCCAAATTAAACACACAAACACTACTTAGTTTGGCTACTTAGTTTGGTAGTGATAGAGACACCCTAATTACACACACAAACACTACTTAGTCTGGGCAGTGATAGAGTCACCCTAATTACACACACAAACAGTTTGGACAGTGATAGAGACACCCAAATTACACACACAAACAATGCTTAGTTTTTGGCAGTGATAGAGACACCCTAATATCACACACAAACACTACTTAGTTTGGACAGTGATAGAGTAGTTTGGACAGTGATAGAGACACGCTTATGACACACACAAACAATGCTTAGTTTGGGCAGTGATAGAGACACCCTTATTACGCACACAAACAATGCTTAGTTTGGGGTGTGATAGAGACACCCAAATTACACACACAAACACGACTTAGTTTGGGCAGTGATAGAGACACCCTTATTACGCACACAAACAATGCTTAGTTTGGGCAGTGATAGAGACACCCTTATTACACACACAAACAAGGCTTAGTTTGGGTAGTAATAGAGACACCCTAATTACACACACAAACACTGCTTAGTTTGGGCAGTGATAGAGACACCCTAATAACACATATAAACACTACTTAGTTTAGGCAGTG